AGCATTGTGTACAAGGCGCACGATCCGTTAGTGAATATACAGAAGAATTCTACAGGCTGAGTGCGAGGAATAACCTGCGGGAATCAAACAACCAATTGGTTGCCCGGTATACTAGGGGATTGAAGGACTCATTACAGGATAAGCTGCAATTAAACTCATTATGGACCCTTTCACAGGCGGTGAATTTTGCGCTGAAGGCCGAGCTGCAGTTGTCCAAACAGTCCAAGAACTACTCCAACAGACGCCAATTTCTTGATCAATCCAGTGAATCTCGCCAGTATGCACAGCCCAAGTTGACGTCGCCAACGTCGTCAAATCAGTCAGCCCCTGTACCCGACAATAAGGCGTCAGCTAGACCTCGACCACCCCCTCGAGACAACCCTTATGCTAAGCCGACAACTCTGAAATGTTTCCGATGTTTCCAGCCCGGCCACAAGTCGAACGAGTGTCCGACAAGACCACAACTTCAAATTGTGGAAGGAGATAATGAAGAGGGAGTAGAATACAACTCGGATGCAAATGAAGACGTTTTTGAAGAACTTACACCGGATGAAGGAGAAGCCGTCGTCTGCATTCTGTAACGGCTATTTTTAGCGCCTCATCAACCCACAACGTCCCAACGAAATGATATCTTTCGCACTCGTTGCACCATCGGAGGAAGAGTGTGTGAATTGCTAATTGACAATGAGTGTACAGAGAATGTGGTATCCCGATCTTTGGTACAAGCTCTGCAGCTGAAAACTACAAAGAACCCGCAGCCGTATAAAATTAGCTGGGTCAAGAAAGGGGTTGAAATCTCTATCACTGATATGTGTAGAGTCAATTTCTCGATTGGGAAAAGTTACATCTGCGAAGTTCTTTGTGATGTCATTGACATGGACGTATGTCACCTCATCTTGGGCCGACCCTGGCAATATGATAATGGGGCTATATACGATTGTCGTCAGAATACCTATTCGTTTGAATGGAAAGGGCGAAAGCTGAAGTTACTGCCACATATCGCAGCACCTCACTGCAATGTGGCAAAAGACAAGGCTGTTCTTAATATCGTCTCAGGCGCTGCTCTATTAGCTGATAGTAATCCTTGTATATATGCTTTGGTGTCTGTCGACCATGGCCCCAATCAAGTGCAGACGTCCAGGCCACCACAAATTGACGAACTACTTCAGGAGTTCCAGGACATTATGCCTCCTGAGCTGCCACCCGAGCTGCCCCCAATGCGCATGACCCAACATCAGATTGATCTGGTTCCCGGAGCCAATTTACCAAATCTTCCACATTATCGTATGAGTACAAAGGAACATGAGCTGCTGCAAGAAATGGTTGACGATTTGCTTAGACAGAAGTTGATCCAGCCCAGCCTGAGCCCATGCGCAGTCCCAGCTTTATTAGTGCCCAAGAAAGACAACAAATGGCGCATGTGTATCGATAGCCTAGCTATCAATAAAATCACTACAAAATACAGATTTCCTGTACCGCGCATTGAAGACATGTTGGACAAGCTCGCCGGCTCTCGCGTGTTCTCCAAGCTCGACCTCCGCAGTGGTTACCATCAAATCCGCATCCGGCCCGGAGATGAATGGAAGACGGCGTTCAAGACCAATCAAGGATTGTTCGAATGGCGTGTCATGCCATTCGGATTGTGCAACGCTCTGGCAACTTTTATGCGCTTGATGAACGAGGTACTCAAGGATCACCTTAATCGTTTTTGCGTTGTTTATTTCGATGACATCTTGATCTACAGCTCGTCCTTTGAAGATCATATCAGACACCTTACTAAGGTGTTACAGGCACTTAGGGAACACCATCTTTATTTGAATTCATCTAAGTGTGAATTTGTTACAGCGCAAGTTTATTTTTTGGGTTTTATTGTTTCGGCTGATGGAGTAGCAACCGACCCACGCAAGATCTCTTCCATTCGCGACTGGCCAATCCCTCGCACCATGTTCGACGTCCGCAGCTTTCATGGACTCGCTAATTTTTACAGACGTTTCATTCGGGGATTCAGTATCATAATGACACCAATCACAGACTGCTTGAAAGCCAAACAACTACGTTGGAATGAATCCTGTCAGCGAAGTTGGGACACCATAAAGGAAGCCTTAAGCTCCGCACCTGTTCTAGCACTCCCGAACTTCGACCTTCCGTTCCAGGTAGACACCGACGCATCCACAGTCAGAATTGGCGCGGTGTTATCCCAGTCTGACCGTCCCATAGAGTTTTTCAGTGAAAAACTAAGCACTGTGAGGCAAAAATGGACAGTGTACAAGCAAGAGCTCTATGCTGTCGTTCGTGTTTTGAAACATTGGGAGCACTATCTACTCCACCAGGACTTCATTCTGAGTAGTGACCATAAGGCGTTACAGTTCCTTAACAGTCAGAAAACCATCAATCGTATGCATGCTAGATGGATCATTTTTTTTGCAGAAGTTCACCTTCGTGTTGAAGCATAAATCTGGAAATCAGAACAGGGTTGCTGATGCTCTCAGTCGGCGCACCGCACTTGTCACTCAGCTCCAAACTGAATTAACCGGCCTTGAATGTCTCCAAGAGCTCTATCCTGAAGACCCAGATTTTGCCCTTCCTTGGCAGCAATGTATGGCGTCACAACCAGTTGCAGATTACTCTGTTTGCCACGGGTACCTCTTCAAAGGGAACGCGCTATGCATTCCTGAATCATCCTACAGGCAACAGCTTATCAAGGAAGCTCACGCAGGCGGATTGGCTGCTCACCTGGGTCGTGAGAAGACGATCCAACAGCTCAAGGCTAGATTTTTCTGGCCTAAAATTCATCGAGACGTCTCCCGTTTCGTCGAGCGTTGTGCTGTTTGTCAGGAATTTAAAGGTAACAAACAAAATGCCGGACTGTATACGCCTCTGTGGGTCCCTGACTCTATATGGGAGGACATTAGTATCGACTTCGTATTGGGATTACCACGAACGCAACGGGGAGCTGATTCCATAATGGTCATTGTTGACCGTTTTTCAAAGATGGCACACTTCGTCGCATGCCGTAAGTCCCTTGATGTCGTCAACATCGCTCGCTTGTTCTTCAATAAGATCGTGCGCCTACATGGACTTCCACGGAGCATAACTTCAGATCGGGATGTCAAATTTGTTAGCCATTTTTGGCGTGAATTGTGGAAGCGCCTACACACCTCCTTAAACCTTAGCTCTGCTTATCACCCCCAGTCTGATGGACAAACGGAAGTCGTTAATAGGACACTTGGCAATATGTTGCGTTGCCTCGTACAGCACCAACCGAAACAGTGGGAAAATTCATTAAGCCAGGCGGAGTTTGCTTACAACTCTATGCCTAACCGGTCAATTGGACAATGTCCTTTTGCTATCGTCTATACTAAGGCTCTGAATCACTTATTTGATATAGCTATTCTTCCCAAATGTGCTAACAAGTCTGCTACAGCTTTGACAGATCAATGCCAATCTGTTTTCGATGAAGTCCGTATGAAACTCATCACGTCCAGTTCCAACTACAAGAAAGTCGCTGATCTACACCGTCATCATGTTTCTTTTCAACCCGGTGATCTAGTACTCATACGACTTCGCAAAGACCGTTTTCACACCGGTGCCAATTCAAAATTGAGCCCTCGCAAATTTGGCCCCGTTCCTATTCTCAAGCGTATTAAAGACAATGCTTATGTCGTCGATCTATCAGACACCATGCATACTTCCAAGACCTTTAATGTCTCAGATCTCTTTCCTTATCACCCCCCCGATGATACAGGTAGTTCACATATTCAGGTGGAACCTGAATTTTCTATAGCAGGAGGTACCTGATGTGGTTCCAGGTTCCATTTAATAAACCGGCTCATGGGGGAATACGGGATCGTGTAACAACGGCCTGCCACCGTGGCTAC